TCTTGGGATGCCTACACACCATTTTGAAGTGCCTAGGTTCAAGTCCCAGCTCTGCTTCCCCTCCCAGCTTTCTGCTAATCTGCATTCTGGGAGGCAGCGGGTGACAGCTCAAATACCTGGGTCCATGCCATCCATGGGGGAGTTGTAGGTTGAGTTCCAAGCTCATGGCTCTGACCTGCCCCAACCCTGGCTAATGCAAGTGTCTGGGGAGTGGACCAGCAGGTGGAAAATCTGTCTGCCTGTCTCTGTCTGTCTGTCTCTCTCTCTCTCTCTCTCTCTCTCTGCCTTTCAATTGAATAAAAATACATAACTAAGAAAAGTCTTTTTAATGATCTGGGAGGGAAATTAAAAACAAAACAAGCTGGTCTTCTCTAACTTACATAGTTTAGCACACAAAGAAAACCTCTGTCCCCAAAAGATAGGATTAAGCTTCCTACATAGGATTACGCTTCGTTAAACCAGGGATAGCCTTTCATTTTCACGGTATGTGTTTTCTTGCACGGTCCTTAGAGGCAACAGTTCCTAATACACCTCCTGATGAGCTCAGCTTCCTGGAAACACACACCTGCTGGGTTCTGGGTTCTCCCTCTCCAGTGACTTATTCGCTGCCTCACAGCTGCCAGCATTGCACATCCACCACTAACGTGATGAAACAGACAGCTAACTACTGCTGCAAATTGGCATTAGTGAAGCCCATGGTGGAGTGCTGTCATCCTGGCGGTGTTTCTTGGACAGACTGGACAGACTGTTAGTATGGAAGCCCCATGCTGAGAGTGCGCGTCCCCAAGGAAGCTTCCGTATTGGCCGCAGTGATGCACTTGCTGGAGCCCGGGTTCCTCTGAGCGTGGCTGTACATGCAGACCTTCTTGATTCTCTTAACGCAAGTTTCAGATTCAATATAGGAGCCAGGTCTAGACAGAGTGGGCACCTTCTTCCTGTGCAAAGTGGCTTAGCTCACCTCTGGTGCCGTTGTGGGTCCTGCCCATACTGTCTGTCCTGCTGGAACGAGGCAGCCAGTGGAGCCCATCCGCCCTTTGGGCAGCCAGTGTAAGCAATACCGTCTTCACAGGCTGCAGGAACCCAGCACCGCCCAGAGGGCTGTAGCTGGAGTCCTGGCTTGCTCCAGTGTTACAATGCTACACCTCTGCTCCTGCCTTGATGCTTTTGAAGTGCGAGTGTAGCTGGCTTAGGGAGGGTGTACAGTAGCCTTTATTCTAGTGCTGATGTAGCCGCACTTCTCACTGTGACCTTTGTGGTGTCTGCTAGAATACTGCTTATATTCTACAGGGCCCCTACATGGTAGTTAGAGGGTAACTTATTTTCTCGGGAATCGTCTTTTCCTGGCTCCGTGGTTTCGTGTTATGTATCTACAGATAAGTGCCTAGCAAAGATTCTAGGACACAGATCTGAGTTCTATTAGCCGTGGGTCCCTCCTCGCAGGGCCTCCCCAACTGCACATTCTGCCCCCTGGGGCCAGTGAGAGTCCTAGATACTGACCAGACTCTGCCTCCTTGTGGTGCAGCCCTGGAATGACTTCAGGCGAAGCCACAGGCAATGTTAGGGCTCGCCTTGTTTGTCCTTTCTCAGAGATCACAGCTCTGCAGTGTTCAGTGTCTGGAAATGGCTGTTTCAGAGCTTTTATCCAGTTCTCTGTTTCTTACATTGCAGCGGGGAGGGGAGGGAGTGGGCATTCTCTCCCGACTGGGAGAGGAGGTTCCAGTGAACAGTTCTTCACCCGGTTTAGACCAGTGGTTCTCCACAGGAGGCCCTCCCGGTCCCCAGGTACATTTGGCAACGTCTGGAGATGGTTTTGGTTGTCACTGCTGGGGAATTGCTATTGTCATCTGCTGGGTAGAGCCAAGGAATGCTTCTCAACACCCCTGTTTCGGTGCATAATACAACAAGGAATTATGCGGCTAGAATCCTTAGTGCTGAGGTTCAAAAGCTTAGCGGAAAGAGTAGAATTTGGGGGGCTGGTATTGTGGGATAAGCCCCTGCCTCCCGTATGAGCACAGTTCAATTCCTGGCTACTGCTCCACTTCCAATCTGGCTCCCTGCTGATGCACCTGGGAAAGCAGCAGGAGATGGCCAAAGGACTAGAGCCCCTGTCACCCATGTGGGAGACCTGGATGGAGCTCCAGAACCAGCGAGTGGAAAATCTCTTTCTGTCTCTTTCTCTTCCTCTTTCTCTCTCTCTCTCTCTCTCTCTCTCTCTCTCTCTCTCTCTCTCACTCTGCATTTCAAATAAATAAATACTTTAAAAAAAAAAAAGTAGACTTTGGAGCCAGGCACCTCCAGAGTTTTATGCTGAGACTCTAGTCAGAGGAGCTGCCTCAATTTCCCTGTCTATAAAATGAGAATATGCAGCATGACCCCGAGAAGTGGAAACATCTGACGTGAAACATTTTAGGTTTGGTGCAGCAGTTAAACCACCACATGGGATGTCTGCATCTCAGAGTGCCAGGGTTCACGTCCCAGCTCCACTCCTATTCCAGCTTCTTGCTGGTGTGCACCCTGGCAGTGGGGATGATGGCTTGAGTACTTGGATCCCTGCCACCCACATGGGAGACCTGGGTGAGACCCTTACTGGGTCCCAGCTTTGGCCTGCTCCAGCCCTGGCCATTGTAGACATCCAGAAAGTAAATCAGTGGAGAGCTCCGTGTGTGTGTGCGTGTGTGTGTGTGCGTGCCTGCCTCTCTACTTTTCAAAAATGTTTTTAAAAAATTTAAAAAGCAGGGGCCAGCACTGTGGTATAGTGGGTGAAGCTGCCGCCTGTGGTGCTGGCATCTCACATGGGCGCTGGTTCGCGTCCCAGCTGCTCCACTTCCAATCCAGCTCTCTGCTATGGCCTGGGAAAGCAATAGAGGGTGGTCCAGGTCCTTGGGCCCCTGCACCCACATGGGAGACCTGGTAGAAGCTCCTAGCTCCTGGCTTCGGATCTGTTCAGCTCCGGCCATTGTGGTCATTTGGGGAGTGAACCAGCAGATGGAAGGCCTCTCTCTGCTTCTGCCTCTGCCTCTCTGTAACTCTGCCTTTCAAATAAATAAATAAATCTAAAAGCAAAGAAACAAGTATCTAATAACTGATAACTTATTGAGACCTGTGGGTTGGACTTGGTGGTTCGATGCCTGTCATTTGCCATTCGTCTTGATTATCACTGAACTCAAACAAAACCGTAAAAACAGACTGACTTGGAAACAAGTTAGAGAGGTGGGGGCAGTCCTTTGAAACCCAGAGCTTTGTTTCTCAAGATGTAGTCTTGGCCAACTTAAGAGTGATCTAGGGTGCTTGTTAAACTTGTAGTTTGCTGGGCCCTCTGCCAGGGCCCTAGGTGTGTAAAGGTGTAACAGGTTTCCCATGTTGAAGCTGGCAAACCTTTGACCCATCTTGTGCAAGGTCCAAAACATTTTCAACTGCAGGGGCTTAGGCATGAGAATCAGTTTGCCCTGGTGTAAGGGAAGATTCAGTAAGCTGATTAAAGAATTCTGTGCTCATTGAAATAGCTCTTTTTCATCATGTCTGTGTCCCTCTCCCCACCCCACAATTCTTGGGAAGGAGGGCAGGTTGCAGCAGTGAGGCCGCTTAATGTTAATGGGCTGACAGGGGCTGGTTGCCACCCTATAGGGTTACTGCCCAGTGCCTCTTGACCTCGCTGGAAGTAACTGTTGTTCCCGATTCCTCACCCTCATGGTAACGTGTGGCCCGCGTCACACCACATTTCTGTGGCTGAAGGCACCATACGGCTCAAGAAAGCTTTGTGTTGTCCATCGTGACATCCTCAGGGACGCACAGGCACTGCCTTGTCAGTCTAATCTTCCTGTCCTTGTCCAGACCAGAAGGCTCGCTCTCTCAGCATCTCCTGCTCTCAGGCTGAACAGCTCTCTCAGGTCAGCTTTGATCCTCTCTCCTGGCTTATGAGGATATTTCAGAAAGTCCACAGAAAATGGAATTAAAAGATCAGTTTCTTTTGATGAAAAAAATAGCTGAATCCATGTGTAGTTCTTTGTCATACATAATTTTTGTGAACTTTTTCCAAAGACCTTTCATATGCATCGATTTAAACATTTAAAAAATCTTTTAATTCCATTTTCTTTTTTTTTTTTAAGTTTTGTTTTATCAGGGCTGGCGCTGTGGTATAGTAGGCTAAGTCTCTGCCTGTGGCACCAGCATTCCTATGGATGCTGCTTCTCTTCCGATCCAGCTCTCTTCTGTGGCCTGGGAAAGTGGTGGAAGATGGCCCAGGTGCTTGGGCCCCTGCACCAGCGTGGGAGACCCGGAGGAAGCTCCTGGCTTCTGGCTTCAGATGAGCTCAGCTCCAGCCATTGTGGCCATTTGGGAAGTGAACCAGCACATGGAAGACCTCTCTGTGTCTCTCCCTCTCTCTCTGTAACTCTGCCTCTCAAATAAATAAATTAATTAATTAATTAAATCTTTAAAAAAAACTTTTATTTATTTGAAAGGCAGACTGACAGAAAGAGGGAAATACAGAGAGCTTTTCCCATATGCTGGTTTACTCCCAAGTAACAAGGGCTGGGGCTGCGCCAGGCGTAAGCCAGGATCCTGGAACCCCATCATAGGTGGCAAAGGCCCGAGTACCTGGGCCATCATCTGCTGCCTTCCCCGGGCCCATTAGCAAGGAACTGAATCGGAAGCAGAGCAGCTGGGACTCCAGCTGTTGCCCCAATATGGGAAGCTGGCATCACAGGCAGCGGCTCCACCTGCTGTGCAACCACGCTGGCCTCTTCCTTCCATCCCCCATGGCCCTTGTGGAACACCCTCATAGTTGCGAGCTCTCAGGGTCAGTGGCCCAGCAAGCAGCCTCTGAAGAGGACCAAGTCAGCTCTCTTCACAGATCTCGTGTAGTCTCAGAGGGATCTGGAAGAACGCATGCGGGCATCAAGTTTAAATCTCAATGAGATCTTGGGCACTGACCCAACAACCTCAGAGCTCACAGTATATATGGAATGAACCTTAGGAAACCCTCCCTTTGTCTTCCACAGTGGTCCTCTCCTTCAGAGGCAACCAGAAGTTTAATCTCGAAGGAAATTTGGCTGCCCCCACCACAGTTCTACGAAATCAGAAGACTTGAGAACTTTGCCTCCCTGTCTGACCTGCACATCTTTTGTTTGGATCGTGCGTCGGAAGGAGTGGAAAGATGGCTGCCCATCACCTTGTTCACTGCTGATGGGGTGGTCCAGCTTTTACCTGGTAAGTCGTGATGCCGCGGTGCTTTTGTTGGGACTCACTTCGGTACGCTGGGCTGTGCAGCACAGGAATGCCAACACAGAGACATGAATTTCAGTCTGGGTTTTAGAGGCTACAAGGTATGTATCCAATAAGGTCAATGCCTATAAAATAGCCCTAGTACTTGTTATAATGAGAATTCTGGATAATATGTTATACACATATATTGTGCTCATTTGCTTTTTCTTTTCTTTTTTTAAAGGATTTATTTCATTTATTTGAGAGAGACAGAGATCTTCCATCCGTTGGTTCACTCCCTAGATGGCTACAATGACTGGGGCTGGGCCAGACCAAAACCAGGAGCCAGGAGCTTCTTCCAGGTCTCCTGTGTGGGTGCAGTGGCCCAAGTGCTTAGACCATCCTCTGCTGCTTTCCCGGGCTCATTAGCAGGAAGCTGGATCAGAAGCAAAGCAGCCAGGACTCAAACCCCCACTCTGATATGGGATGCCACTGTTGCAGGCAGCAGCTTAACCCACTGAGCCACAACTACATACATAGCCCCATACACATTTACTTTTATATAAAAACATTTCCTAGACATTGGAAAAGTTCTTTTTCATCTGTATCACTTTAATTCTGAATTGTGAGCACTGGGAAGCTGGCAGCGTGTTTGAGCTGGGGCAGTTGTTAGTGGCTGGTTGCTGCTGGCCTGGTGCACGTCAGGAGAGCTGCTGGTGCTCCACACTGGGGCCTTGTGACCTGTCTCCCTTCATGGCTGCCGGCTCAGTTCCTGAGAATAGTGGTAACGTTTGTATTGCAACCTGCAGGGCCACGATTCAGCAACCTTTCTATCAGTGGTAGTTTTTGTCTTTTTCGAAGGTTTATTTATTTTTTTGTAAGGCAGAGTTACCTCTCAGAGAGGCACAGGCAGAGAGAGAGAGGTCTTCCATCTGCTGGTTCACTCCCCAAATGGCCACAACTCCTGGAGCTGAGCCAATCCGAAGCCAGGAGCTAGGAGCTTCTTTTGAGTCTTCCACGCAGGTACAGGGGCCCAAGGATTTGGGCCATCTTCCACTCCTTTCCCAGGCCATAGCAGAGAGCTAGATTGGAAGTGAAGCAGCCGGGACCCAAACCAGGGCCCATATGGGATGCCGGCACTGCAGGTGGTGGCTTTACCCACTAAGCCACAGCACCGGCTCCAATGGTAATTCCTTTAGTTTATCAGAATACAATGAAATAGCAAAATATACAAAGAGTCATGAACTAATATACAAGTTAGATGCACGAACAGTGTACCAGTCATAAATGCTTATGCATGCAGAGAAAATCTTCGCTGGGGGATGAAGGTGGTGAGGTATTCAAAATTAAGAAGGGAGGCAGGCTTTGGAGATAGTGGTTAAAGCGTTCATGTCCCATATCAGAGTGCCCTGGCTCTTGATTCCAGCTTCCCACTGGAGGTCCGGGGGCCCATGGTGCAGGCTCCAGTGATTAGGTTCCTGCCACCTGCCTGGGACACTGGGACAGAGTTCCTGGCTCACAGCTTTGCCCCGTGAGTGAGACCATTGCAGGCATCTGGGGAATGAGCCAGCCGCTGGGAGACCCGGATGTGCACTTCCTCTTTCTCTCTCTGCCTTCTGCCTCTCAGACTGACAAAGGGAAATATAAGAAAGAAATTGAGAGAAGCTCATATGGTTAGGACCATTTAGCAACTATCTTAGTCCCAAACAAACAGTGATTCATGTGCCAGCAACCTATTGGAATTACTTGTAAAATAATACTCAATGAAATGAAAATTTTATTGTTTTTCAGGGGATGAGCTATACTTGAAAGATTCAGACTTTTTAGAAAAAGTTTTGTCTACTGAAAAAGGTATAGAATAAGTCATGAGGGAAGGCAAGAAGTTTCACCGAATAGTGATCCACAGCCGCCATCACTGTAGCCTTCACGTGACCGTTCAGCCACAGTACAAGCACATTTATCCCAAGAACTATGTGGCGAGTAAGAGCCACTTGTAGGGCGCCGCTCGATGGTACGCTGGCCTGCCCGAGGTGGTGCTCATAACAGTGAGAGCTGATTAAACTTACTTGAAATGTAAGAAACCTGTAAAAGTTCTGATGCAGTGATTCTTAGCTCTCTTGCTTATTTTTTTTTCTGTAAACTTTACAGTATGCCACCACAAGTATAAAGTTTATAAAGTATTAATGATCTTGCTACCAAGAATTCCATGGCGATTTCTCATCTCAGAAGTTTAAATAAGATGTTCGACTGCTGTGGTTCTGCTGGTCCACTATATTTGCACTTTCTTTCCCAAGGTGCTGTACAGAGTAACCCATGGGTTTCTCACACTTGCTGCTAGAAATTAACTAAAAGGTTAAAATGACGATGTCACTGTTTTCTCCCTGCATTTTATCTTGTCAATTAACATTCAATAATACAGTTGTACAAGGAAATCTATTGTAGTTAGTATTTTAAAGAAATATGAAGCCATAACAAAAGCCATCACTGTTTTTACTCTAGAGTGGTAGTTAATGAATGCAAAGAAGTTAGAGAGATGTGGTATTTAATTAATGCGTTTTATTTTTGGTACATTTAATATAAGTATTTTTTCACCTCCTTTGGAGAGGAATGTTTACTGATTAAAGGTGAGAAATGATCATTCTTTTTCAAGATCTTGACTGTATCATACAATTGATTTCATTTTTCATGAAATGTCTCCATTCCCTACCAGTAAAATAAAAACAATGATAAATACAAATGAAGTGTGTGTTATTTAATCCTGATTATAGGAAGTGGTTTTCAACCCCGGGCATTTCACTCTCAGAGGACATTTGCTGATGACTGGAAGCCGTTTTGGTGGTCACCTCTCCAGGGGACAGGGGTCTGCTGCTGCCGTCTAGTTGGGAAAGGTGCCCAACACAGATAGCGTTACCTGGCCAGGAGTGAGTGCTCCGAGCTGAAGTCCATCAGCGTACACTGTGGCTTTGCCAGTGAGGACACCGGGAAACAGACCCACGCCACTCGTCAGCGCCAGAGCCAAGAGCAGAACCTGCCTCCCGGCCCTGCTCCCTGTAACGGGTTAAGGGCTAAACGGGTGGTTCAGATGTCCCGGTAGTTATGTGACCGGTCTTTCTCCGTGGAAGAGCTACAGTTTTGTCGTTAATCCGAGTAAAGCTGCCCCTAGGAATCCCTTCTGGGAGATTCTCACCTGACTTCCCACTTGTGATGGCCTGCTCCCCAGCCCCGAATAAGAGGGGTGTCCTCACGCATGGAAAAAATTAGATTGTTTCAGAGCCCAGCTAGTGCTCACAGCAGCTGTCTTACCTGATGCATTCCAGCTACCTGGGCCGCAGGTGCAGAAGCAGGAAGCGCACAGGTGTCCCTGCCCCATGCCTAGGATGCCGTCTGTAACCTCAGGAACAATGACGTTGTTTCACATTATCATGGCCTCTGTCTGTTCTGAGCCTCTTGGGTGATGACCTCCGGAAACACCCAGAACTAGGCTGGCCTTGGCATCTGTCATTATTTCTGAGTTTTCCCTCTCCACACCGTACGGTTATTCCACTCCTCCTTGCCCCTTCTGTGGTCACAGCTCTGTTGGTTGCTTCCCCTCTAACTGACCTGTAGACACCCAAGTCCCTCACTGCATGCCCTCAGACCCTCTTCTCTCTTTGAAGGAGGTAAGTGCTTCCGGGTCACATGCTTTAAGGAGGGAATTGTTTGCCTTTTACCTTGTTGTTTCCCCTCTCACTGGTTGGAGAGATTTTAGTGTAAGCAGGCAGATAGGATAAAAATCGATTCGATTTGTGAGCTGGAAGACCATGCCTTCACCATGCCCTGGGTGAGCTCAAGCCCCTACCTGACCCCACCTGTATGCCCGCCTGCCAATCAGACTATGTAACCACTCCCCTTTGGGACACAGCGGGCCCCTCCCTAGTTTGCCCTTGTTCGCCTTGTTGCCCTTGGCCTTGGCTCTCTGCTCTCCTGCCTGTACGCTTGCTGCTGGTCTGCTCTGCCTGGTATGGACCCAATTTGTCTTCTAGACTTCTCTTTCTCCTCTAAATAAAGCCCTCACTCTCCTGCACATTATTCTCACTGAATAAAAAGCTTAAAAACTTACCATGTTATCTGGTCTATTTGAGCCAGTATTCAGAATTCTTCTCTGAATATGTGGCAAGAGCCCGCAGGCTTATTAATATTGAAAATTATGAATAAGCATGGCCGGCGCTGTGGCTCAATAGACTAATCCTCCACCTTGCGGCGCCGGCACACCAGGTTCTAGTCCCGGTCGGGGCGCCAGATTCTGTCCCGGTTGCCCCTCTTCCAGGCCAGCTCTCTGCTGTGACCAGGGAGTGCAGTGGAGGATGGCCCAAGTGCTTGGGCCCTGCACCCCATGGGAGACCAGGAGAAGCACCTGGCTCCTGGCTTCGGATCAGCGCAGTGCGCTGGCTGCAGCGGCCATTGGAGGGTGAACCAACGGCAAAAAGGAAGACCTTTCTCTCTCTCTCTCTCACTGTCCACTCTGCCTGTCCAAAAAAAGAAAATAGAGAAAGAAAAATTTTAAAAAAAAGAAAATTATGAATAAGCAGTCCGATACCAGTTAAATAATAGGTTCACCATAATTTTTCAAAAAGATTTATTTATTTGAAAGAGTTACAGAGAGAGGTAGAGACAGGGAGAGAGGTCTTCCATCTGCTGGTTCACTCCACAGATGGCTGCAATGGCCGGAGCTGTGCTGAACCAAAGCCAGGAGCCAGGAGCCTCTTCCACATCTCACACGGGTGCAGGGGCCCAAGGACTCGGGCCATCTTCTTACTGCTTTCCCAGGCCATAGCAGAGAGCTGGATTAGAAGAGGAGTAGCCGCGACTATAACTGGCACCCATATGGGATGCCGGCGCTTCAGGCCAGGGCTTTTTTTTTTTTTTTTTTTTTTTTTTTGACAGGCAGAGTGGACAGTGAGAGAGAGAGACAGAGAGAAAGGTCTTCCTTTTTGCCATTGGTTCACCCTCCAGTGGCCGCTGCAGCCAGCGCACTGCGCTGATCCAATGGCAGGAGCCAGGTACTTCTCCTGGTCTCCCATGGGGTGCAGGGCCCAAGCACTTGGGCCATCCTCCACTGCACTCCCTGGCCACAGCAGAGAGCTGGCCTGGAAGAGGGGCAACCGGGACAGAATCCGGTGCCCTGACAGGGACTAGAACCCAGTGTGCCGGCGCCGCAAGGCGGAGGATTAGCCTAGTGAGCTGCGGCGCCGGCCTCAGGCCAGGGCTTTAACCCACTGTGCCACAGCACTGGCCCCCAGGTCTCACAATATTTTTGTATTAGGATAATTTATTTGAGAGGCAGAGAGGTGGAGGTCCCACCTGCTGGTTCATTCCCATATACCTGCAATGGCCAGAACTAGGCTGGCCCGAAGCCAGGAGACAGGAATGTAACCTGACATAGGATTAGGCAGGCAGCTAATTAGGATAGCTGGAGCTGGAGGTACCTGGGAGCCACAAGCCCCCACCCCCTGTGTAATTCTAGCCTACTTGTCAATGAAATCTATTCTACTTCCCCCTTTCCCAGATGCATCTGCTTCAGCATGCAGGACCTGAGGGGGGAGTTTGCCATGGAAACATGTCTATAAGGCTCCATTTTAGGATTTTATGGAGGTAACATATAATGCCCAGGTAGTTTCATATCTGCAGAGGCTACACCACCCCAACCCACACTCCACCCAAAAGCAGGTGCTGGGATACATTCTCCCTCTGTCACCACAGACCAGGACTGGAGGAGGCGCTGGGGAGCTCTGTGCTTTCCCTCTCCCACCCTTTTCTCTCCTGGCCATTGCCTACTCATGAGGGGTATTTCTTTGTGTGGGACAACCTATGCTGGAACTCAAACCAGTGCCCACATGGGATGCCACACCGTATACAGTGGCCTTACCCTCGACGCGCCATGATGCTGTCCCCAGCAGGCTAATTTTTAAGTTGATAACTTTGTATGGCTTGCAAACGATGTTCTACATATCTACATTTTGCCCTTGGCAAAAAAGAAAAAAAAAAGTTCCCCACCCCTGACTTAGGCCAAGCCAGTTAATTATCTCTTGCCTCTCCACTTCTATGCTTTCCCTCACAATAGATTCTCCATTGAGCTGGAAAAATGACCTTGCAATTGAAATGTAAGTCAATGTCAAGTCACTGCCCTCATTAAAAGTCACCAGTTGAGGGTGAACATTTGGCATAGTGGTTAAATGCCGCTTGGGACAACTGTGTCCCGTGTTAGAGTGCTGGGCTCCAGCCCGGGCTCAGCTCCTGATTTCAGCTTCCTGCTAATGCACACACCCAGGGAGGCAGCAGGTGATGATGGCCCAAACAGTTGAGTGTCAGCCACCTGTGCAGGAGATGCAGCTGGAGTCTGGCTCCTGTTTTGGCCTGATCTAGTGCCAGCCAGTGCAGGCATTTGGGGAGTGAACCCACAGATGAGGGGTCTCAATAAAACAATAAGATGAACCATAATAAAAAAAATGCCTAATGGCTTCTCTTCACACTTCAAATGTACATATACCACGCCGACAAGGCCTTGCCGTTCCCTCTGCTCTCATCACGCACCCCTCTGCGTCTGTCCTCCCACCAGCAATGTCTTCTCTTCCTTCTCTTCTCAAAGCTCCTTCCCGCTTCAGAACCCTTTACACTGACTGCTGCCTGGAGACAAAACTCGACCTCGGAATAACTTTAGTTCCTGGTTCTCTGTCACTGCAGCCTGAGAAAAACAGGTGAAAGATGGAGGATGCCACCTAATATGTGGATTAGTGGCATAACTGAAAGAAAAGTTCAGGACAAATGGAAGAGACACATTATTCAAAGAGAGTTTTCCTTTTTTTTTTTTTTTTTTTTTTTGACAGGCAGAGTGGACAGTGAGAGAGAGAGGCAGAGGGAAAGGTCTTCCTTTGCCGTTGGTTCACCCTCCAGTGGCCGCCGTGGTACTCTGCTTCCAATCCAGCTGCCTGCTAATGTGATCCTGGGATGCAGTAGGTTATGGCTCAAGTAGTTAAGTCTCTGCCTGGGGCCGGCGCCGTGGCTCACTTGGTTAATCCTCCGCCTGCAGTGCCGGCATCCCATATGGCTGCCGGGTTCTAGTCCTGGTTGCTCCTCGTCTGGTCAAGCTCTCTGCTGTGGCCCGGGAGTGCAGTGGAGGATGGCCCAGCTCCTTGGGCCCCTGCACCCACATGGGAGACCCAGAGGAAGCTCCTGGCTTTGGATCGGCGCAGCGCCAGCCGTGGCGGCCATTTGGGGAATGAACCAACGGAAAGAAGACCTTTCTCTCTCTCACTGTCTAACTCTGTCAAATTAAAAAGAAAAATAAATAAATTTAAGTGATCTTAAGATTCGAAAAAACCTGACAATTTTTCCAAAGTCCACCAAAGCGGGCACTCGATCCCACCCCATCCCATCTTCTGGGAGTAGGGGGTACCCTCCCGCTCCTGTGGCCGGGAAACTCATTCCTTCACACTAAAGCAGCAATCAAACCCTGCCGGTCTCCTGAGTGCTGAATGGGAATGGCTTTCCTGCTGGGAGAAAACAGAGCAGGGTGCCAGGACTGGGTCGACAGGGAAGTAGACCTCTTGGAGGCGGCCATGTCTGCAAAGACCGAACGAGGAGCGTGGAGGCGAACAGCCCTAGGGTGCCTGGGGAGCGGGTGGACAGCCCACTTCCTCCTACTGCAGTCATTCGCACACCTGGGGCTTGGGTGCCCGGCAATGCCCCAAGCTCCACCACAGCGCTTCCGCCCTCACCGTCGGGTCTGTGCAGCCGTCGGCCACTCCGCGCCCTTCCCACCAAACCCACACCCAATCAGAAGGCGCCCCAGATCCGCTGGCTGAGCATCAGCCAATAGGAAGCAGGATCTGGAGCCTTGGCCCGCCTTGAGGGACTCCGGACCAATGACTGCCCCCCAGCGAATCCGGGGCAGCGCGAGGCAGCTATGGGCTGTTGGGCGCGCGTGCGCCGTGGTGGCTGCTGGCTCCGGCGGCAGTTCAAGTCCAGTAGCGGCGCCAGGCGGCAGCGGTGAAGTTCACCGCGGTAGGGTCCCGGGGACGGGCCCAGGCCGGCGGGCGGAACAGCCCGCCACTTGGGGCAGCCAGAGAGGAGGGTGGGAGAGGAGGCCGGGGCGGGACGCGGGCGGCCCAGGGCGTCCATGGTGCTCTCGGGTCTGAGGGCAGCGGTGACAGGATGAAGGCGGATTGCCCTGGGAGTCGGTGGCTAAGCGCCCGACGCAGCCGGGTGGGGAGAGGGAGGGAATTTTTTATTTTTTAAAAGTGATGCCCAGCCGGCGCCGCGGCTCACTAGGCTAATCCTCCGCCTTGCGGCGCCGGCACACCGGGTTCTAGTCCCTGTCAGGGCGCCGGATTCTGTCCCGGTTGCCCCTCTTCCAGGCCAGCTCTCTGCTGTGGCCAGGGAGTGCAGTGGAGGATGGCCCAGGTGCTTGGGCCCTGCACCCCATGGGAGACCAGGATAAGCACCTGGTTCCTGCCATCGGATCAGCGCGGAGCGCCGGCCGCAGCGGCCACTGGAGGGTAAACCAACGGCAAAGGAAGACCTTTCTCTCTGTCTCTCTGTCTCACTGTCCACTCTGCCTGTCAAAAAAAAAAAAAAAAAAAAAAAAAAAAAGTGATGCCCGTGACGCTGATGGAGTTAGGCAGGATCAGGGTTGTCAGTCTCTGGAAGTAGCGGTGGGCTCTGAAGCCTGGAGGGCGCTTGTCCCTGCTCCTAGAGGGGCCCGCAGTGCCTTTGTGCATGTAGCCATGGCTGTTTCTCCTATTGGAAATTTCCACTGAGCGGCTGCTGTGGTGGCGCCGGCGGGTAGGCCGCCCCGCCTTGGGACTGGCAGCCTCGGTGAGCGCCGCTTCTGGTCGTGGCTGCTCCACTGCCGATCCAGCTCCCTGCCCATGTGCTGGGAAGACAGTGGAAGGTGGCCCAAGTCCTGCCCAGGTAGTTCCAGGCCCCTGGCTTCGGCCTGGCCCAGCCTGGCCATTGCAGCCATTTTGAGAGTGAAGCAGCAGATGCAAAATCTCGCTCTAATTCTGCCCTTTTCCAGGTCTTTTAAAACAAAAATTCAACTGAGAAGTTCTAAAAAGTTGTATTCTCCATTTTGTTTGAAAGACAAAAGATCTTCCGTTTGCTGGTTCACTCCCCAAATGGCCACAACAAGGCTGCTGGGCCATGCCTGAAGCCTGAAGTTGGAGCCTTGGTGGCAGCCGGTCTCCCACGTGTGCATCAGGAGACAGAGTACTTGAGCCGTCCCCTGCGGCCTCCCAGGAAGCTGGAGTTGGGAGCAGAGCCAAAACTCAAACCCAGACATTTGGATATGGGAAGCCAAGTGGCATCTTAACCAGTGTCAAATGCCCACCGTTGAGATGCTTTTTTTTTTTTTTTAAGATTTTTTATTTATTTATTTGACAGGTAGAGTTAGAGACAGTGAGAGGGAGAGACAGAGA